ACCATCATTTTACGAGACTTACTTCTCGCACTTAGTTCTCTTTCACTAATACTACCATCCATATTGTCTGATTCTCTTTGTTCCGCAGTTTCCTTCGAGGGAGAATTTTTATTGACAGTTTCTACGAAAGGTATAATAACTTCTGTTCTATACGAAGTAACAATGTCAGAGTTCAGAGGTTGGGGTTCCTGTTTTGTCACCTCAGGACTTGAAGGTTGGGATGACTGTTTGATTTTTTCGGATTCAAGTAACTTCTCCTCTCGAAGCAGTCTCTCTGCTTCTTGACGAATGTAATCGCGTTTCTCCTTCTCTTCTCGAATGCGTTCTTCAGCCTCCTGTCGGAGCTGTTCCTCTCTCTGCTGCTCCTCTTTAAGCTTTGTCGAAGTCTCCTTTTTCAACGCCTCGGCTCTGGCCTGTTCTTCCAGAAGCCTTTCCTCGGCTTCACGTCGGATTTCCGCTTGGCGTTGCCGATATTTCTCGAACCTTAGTTCGGCTTCTTGTCGTATTCGCTCCTCACGATCTTGGACTTCCTTTATTTTTTGTTCCGCCTCTTTGCGTATTTCGTCTTCTCTGCGAACCTGGTAGTTACTAACACGATCGTCTGAAATGATTGAGTTACAATGCGCACAAATTAATAAATTTACATTAAAATTAAGGCCTCTAAGATGTAATAAACTGGGGTGTTATTTAAAGAGCATGGCCAGAAAAGTTTCCTGCACGTAACGTCCTATTTGAAGACGAAGGCCAATTTGCATTCTGATACTTTTAAATATCAGGAGGCCATATTGCTTCAATGCCGATAAAACCCTAAAAATTAATTGTTCGAACAAATTTTACTGTAAAAGGAGTGAAACAGTAATTTTCAGACTCCTCCAAAACTGTGACTTTTCAATTGAACCATTCCGATCAACACTCCCTTGTAGCACTGTTTAATGAGACTTTTTGAGACTATGAAATCCTTAAACGTGACATTTGAAATAGAAGCTACTGAGCAACAGAACTTGTTGACTTTGCTACAGCGTTTTCACCGCGCACGTTGGGTTATATAGCATTTTATGAGCCTAATGATAAATTCTCAAGTCTGACATTGAAATTGAATCTATAGAGTAGTACTTTCCTGTGGTGCTGTTTTCATGTTATTCTGAACTCTTACCGTGCAGTCATTTAATCACATTATTGACAATACAAAACGATTTACTACGTATAGCGTCCCATGCGTGGCTTTAACTGAGTTTTAACCTTCAGAAATAGTAAATTATGCGACCTTTCGAGTCAGGAATTTGTTCATGTGGGCTTGTCAGTTCACGCAATTACAATGCTACACGTTCGACAAAAAACTGCCCTTCTTGAAAATGGTATAGATCTGAGCTAAGAATAGAAACAATTTCCTTCTTATATTATTCTGGTTACAATACTTTTCTTTTTGTTACATTGAACTTGATAAACCACCATAGGAGGGTGGGATATAATTTGGTTTGTTGTCTTCGTTTTGTTATTTCATTTAAAGTCCACAACTTCTCCAATGGACCTTTTAAGTCATGACACTTCCTTAAAAATCAGTTTGTGTCGAACTCGTCATAACTTTCAGTAGCACCACATTCTTAATGTTACCGTAGTAAAGACGTAGACGCCCTTAAAACATGAAATAAATTATAAATAACGCCTCATGTGATGAACAAGTTCGCTCTAAGGTATTGCTGCACGCTACATACCCCAAGTAACACTAAAACCGCATTTCAACTTCAGAGATAAAACTTGAGGTAATTTGTAACTTTTTTGAGTAACTTTCAAGGAAAAAAATCCTCGGCATTTCCATTTGCTTGATGCGATAATAAAAACCGCCACTTTGAGCGTTAAAAAGTAAACAATAGCGATTTTCTCTCTTAAAATATATGCTAATATACGAGACTACTGTATTTGGAGAATTCTCCTAGCAAAACAAGCCCGTTTTTGTGAATTTTCTAAGTCATTTTTTGTCAACTGATCTAATATATCCATACAACTCCATACATAAGGAATTTCAGAGCTTGTAATTAAAATGATGTATTTGCGGAAATACAGCACCTGTGCAGAACCCGATTGTACTGTAATCCTCAATCGTCACTGCTTGTGGAAAAGAAAATCCAATAGTTGACTAACAAGAAACAAAGCTACGAATGCAATTTTCTCCGCAGAGAGGTGGAAAAGAAGTCAAAGAACGACTTTAGAATCTGTGTGAATTATTAAGTTGAAGACAAACGGTTATTTTCTTAGACAGTTTGATGTTTTCACCTTTGCTAGGATCCTTATGCGATACTTTAAATCTAGGTGCTTAACACACTTAGGACACATCTATACTTGCCATCTACGACATAAGCCGTTCATAAGTGTGAAAGGTTGGCCAACTGCATGAATCTCAAGGCTTCACTTACGATTTAGAATATGACAAACTGCCCTCGAAATTGCGAATGAGCCCCAAAACATTTGAAACATCTGCCAGGGTCTAATAACCGATACAAAGACAGCACGAACTGAACGAATGCAAAGAGTTGGCAAACACAATACAAGTCAAAACACCATTGTTTATCACAGTACGCCTAGGAAATACCAAGAATCATTTGCATGGCGCAATATGTTCCGGACTTCGTAAATATCTTTGAGCAATTATCTGACCCGACATTGGCCAATAATAACATGATTATACTCCCGAAGTTAATTTGTTTAATGAATAAATCATTTTCTTCGAACGTTAGAGTTGTGGAAAATTCAAAGTTTGACCAAACTGGAGTGATCTGTGTAAACTTAACGCAGCAAAACAAAATTTCAAGAAAGATCTTCATTTTAACTTAACGAAAATAGAACATGACACAAAATAGCTGTTTGTACTTGCTGAATGGATTAAATAATTGCCAGATATGTTTTCAAAACAATGAGCATGAAATAAAAGAACGCAACAACTGAATGCCAAGATCAAATATAGAAGTTTACTTAGAACTACAAACTGAGGGTGACTTTTTCCATTTAAGAATTTTATAAAATAACCCGGTCATTCTTAAAGGCATTAGTCGAAAAGATAAGCTGCAGATTTTAGTTATCATAAATATATATCTAAGTAAAAAATATGGACAAGTTTGAAATCGTCAACATATAGTCACATCTTGCTAAAGAAAACATCAATTGCTTCGAGCTTCAGCTGCCTCCGCCATTGTGATAACCTTTAATAGAACGGTGGTTAACGGCTTATCGCCCCTTGTAAGGAAATTTGGATTCCGGAATGCAGGAAATTTTTGCTTGGGGAATCTTGGCATTGGAATCCGGGATACAGGTCGCGGAATCCGGAATTCCACTAACGATTGGAATCCAGAATCCAAGTTCCACTTACAAAGACTGGAATCCAGTACTTGGAATCCTGAATCCAAGGCACGGAATCCTGAATTCAAGACTGTCTTGGATTCCATTACATGGGAGCGAGGCTTACTAACTCATTACGAGAAAAATCTATATCCTGCTTCTAATGTCGCTCGGCAAAGTTTGCCAGTCTCTACAAGGAAGCAAGTACAAATACGTACTTACAAAATATCTGTTTTCTCTGGAATGCATCGAGGAAACTTCTTGATTTCACATACAAATTTTACAGAGCTGTGAAGCAAAGGTTTACAGTTTGTTTTTAATGTTCCTTCGTGTTGGCGATCGATCGTGAGGTATAACCCCATTCTCAAGTAGTATGTTAAAAAGGCGGCAGGTTGACTACAAACCCGTTTTCCAAAAGCTACAGGGTTTAAGGGTATAGCCTGAAAAACCTAAAACAGGAGAGAAGCGTCCAGCAACAGTTTCCCTAGCGTAGCATTATGTTCACTTTCAGTTTGTTCACTGCGAGAAATCCCGAGGAACTGCTGGTAATTTGCCCGAGGGAATGTACGGGTCAAACGGCCTGGAGGCGTTTGTAACGAGGGACAACCACCTCCGAGTTCGGTTCCAAACAAGTCTTTGGAGTCTGGCTGATTCAAGATTAATAAAATCCATTGTGGTGAAATGAACCACGACATGTACGGCGAGCAGAACACGGTCTGATATTAAGAAAATATCGCACCGAGGAATAGACGTTACAGTAAGCCAAGTAGTCTACTGAGTTCTTAATGTTATATCGGCCTACGTTGAATTCATTGTCACGTAACGAATGGCCCTTCACTTATCCATGGACGCCAGGTGACAGAAGGAAGAAAAAACTTGCACTGTCGGCTGAGTTTGGAGAACTTAGTGAGAAAGATAGGTTACCTAAACGCCAAGAATTACGTTTGTAGTGCTCTGTAAACGACACAATTTTGTTCTCCCGTTTCGGAAGTATAATATCCGTCTAATAAAATACTACTGGAGGCGACTTAGTAAACGTAATCAAGAGCTGATATGTAAGCAAAACTGAAAGGCAAACAGTCCACTCTGGCAATATTTTTCCCGTCATCGGCGCTTTACCGTGCAAAGCACTCTGAGTTCTAAGCCACATTGATTCACTCAGTAAATGCGTAGACAATGGGACTAGAGATAGCTGAGATAAATCTTGCTATGTGTTCTGTAAAATATGTCCAACAATATAAAACGAGAGCGAAATAACAATGAAAACATCGATTGACTAATATAGTGAGACACCAATGAGCAAACACGGTTAACAGGTAATTGGCCAGTTTTTCTAAGCGTTTACCGGGCCAGCGGGCAATCAAGGGTATAAAATTGTCACCACCGGTTTTGAACTTTTGAACCAAAAACAAAAACTACTCCGGACGAGCGTTCATTAAGTCGAAATATTTTTGTACACGGAAATAACATTTGTTCATGCATAAAATAAGATTAATTACATAGAGTCCAATTAGGTAAAGAATAGGCTTAAAGCGTTTTTGCAACGGCAAGCACTTTACATAAATTAAATTTTGACGAGCGGGTCATTATATAAGAGAAAATATTATTACTAGGTTAGATAATAAGGTTGGAGAAAACTTTTTATGTAACTGCTATTTTTTTAAGTCATCCCAGCGTATAATTTCATGCATGCTTTACCACTGAGCGTGAGATTCAATCATATTCAGCAGTCACATGTCCGACGGAAAATTAAGTACATCCACCTTTTTTGTGTAAACACAAATTTTGGCATTTAATTGATTTAGCGAAGTTTCAAAGCGCCTGCCTCCAAAGATATATTTTTAAAGTCACTTTAACTAATTGACCGCAAAACAAGACACATGCCAAAATTAACGTGTCGGATGTCTCAAGACGGATATATGAAGTGCATGACACAAAACTTAGCGTAAATAGAAAATCGTAAACGTGTACATTAATTTAACTATATCACGTTTTTGTATGTTTTGACACACGGATACAGACGTTTGTTCCGTAAACGCTCAAAAGAAACTACTACAAAAAAAAAATAAGCGACACCAAAAATGGTTGAAGAAATTGCAATGAAAGTTCAGTCCGTTTTTCCCACGTGAACAAAAAGGCTTCATTAGTTTTTAACGCTCCATTTCAGTTGAATTATATCTTTCTGTCAAATTATTTATGTAACAACCATTCAAGTGTATGTATTATTTTGAAAATTAAATCATACTTGGTTCAGCACCCAAGCAAATAAAATGCGCATGATATCAGAACACTTAAGTACTTCGGTCTGTAATTACCGTATAGCACGGCCAGGTTATATTCACCGCGAGAATAATACTCTATTCTGGGTTTCACTTTTAGGATTTTAACAATACTGTCCTGCAGAGATGCGATTGAGCTTATAAACGGAACAATTACCCGAATGATCTCGCAAGAAAAGTTTTGGGAACCCCCTATGTTTTCGATCGAGACGGCTGATCTGTACATGAATATGACGAATTAATTTAACATACCTGTGATTATATTATACTCTCGTTTTCGTATAGGAATACCCCTTCGTTCAAAGCTACTCCACTGTCGTAAGAGATGATGAAAACAGGCAACACACACAACAGCTCGACCTAGAAGATCCAGTTTAGTTTGATCTCTTTGTAACTCGGCCAAAACAGGAAAAAATGGTCCTTTCGGTTGTTCCGTTGCAAATAAACGCTTTTCATATCCGTTGGTGGAGTTGTTGCAGAAAGTGCAAATCGTGAATTGCTTTTCTCCATTAGTGGATGACAGTTTCAGATCGGTATCCGCCATGTTCAGGAAAACTAATTAAACCCGCAAAATCTCTTGTTTCCCGAAACTTAACGCAAACGGCTAATCCTTTTTAACCGTAAACTTGATGGCCTGTATTTCCTAAACCGTCCTCATTTTCAGTTCCTAATCGCTCTAAAAAACCGCCTATCATCCATCAATTTGTTCAAACTTCATTGAATAGTTTGTATTTATAATGAAAACCACCAAGAGACCGTGACACAGTCGTATAATGTCAGCAAATCATATGCAAAGCTTATACTAGCTAATTTATGCGGGATAAGAAAGGAGCTACAATTGCTCTTCAATTGTGTGGCGTGAAAACTCATCTCATTGGTTGCAGTGAGACTGTTTGTTTTTTACGCTGCATGAAAATACAATGAAAGCGCAATAGATCTGAAATAAGTCCTTCGAAACAAGGAAAAAAGTCCCTGCTAAATTTTGTAAAGTATGCAGAATATAAAACACAGAATTTTAGCTTTCACTCTCATAGACACCTTGTAAAATATCTTAATTAGCAGAATTTAACTTGTCTTTATTCTACATTGTTATCAGCAGACTTCTTAGTGACTCAAGAAAGAAATATTGACTGAACAAATTTAACCCCTGGGTTTTCTTTGCACCAAAATTAAAATAAAAAGTGCATCAACTTATTGTTTCAGTCTTGAAACATAAAACATTGAAATCTAAAAACGTCATCTCTAGACTCCACACAAGCCTCAAACATTTATGTATACCGCGAATATATAGCAAGCAAGTAAACTTACTTTGGCAGGCAATAAGCATCATCTGCTACTTTTCCTTAGAAGTATCGAATAATCTTTTTAAATATTTACCAACACTCTTGAAGAGTAAAATTCCATGGGCCAGTTATTTACATTGTAAACGTAGCCAGTGTTCAACAAACCCCCTTTCTAAGCCATTTTCAGTTTACCGAAGCCTTTAATGTAAGCATAACTTATCGTGAGAGTTTCATGAAAGCATATACTTAAAAAGAATTTGTCTTCTTAAAATAAGTCACAAAATGAAGAGTTCTTGAGGCCCAAAGATTTCCCAAACCGCGGTCTAAGCTAGACTTTGTTTAAATAACCGACCCATAACTTTAAAAAGATCATACTTGCGCGTTAGACATTGCATATAAATTTCATATAAACTATATCTGCCTTTCCAAGCTACAACTAGCCTTTGCAAAATAGGAAGGGCAATTATATCCTCCTTCTTCCCCTTTCAATGTACTTAAGGCGAGCGTTGACACGAGAAAGATTTTTCCAGATTCATAAATGTTTCTGGATTTAACACACTTACGATATTCGGGTTGGTTGTCGTTTACACACATCAGTTAATGCGAGAACATTTATTCCTCATCAATACAAAGTCTTTTCCTACGATTCCGTATTCTACATCTCCGGACTCGCGAGCTGAACCCGGAAGTTCTTAGTTATATTCACGCCTCTTCGTGTAAACGGCAAAACGAAACTGATGCCAAAATGTTCCTGACTCTGACTCATCCCCACGCGTCTCTCAGTATCCTATTAATATTAAGACGAGAAGCGCTGTCATTCAAATAGAGAAGACTCGGGACAAGTTATACCCGGACTCGTCACGAATAGAAACCAGTCACACTAAAAAAAACCAGTTGACCCGCGCGAGCCCGACAAGTCGACTACCGCTTTCTCTTTCTCCCAGTCCCTCGCGGTTCTCACCTCGGGCTTAATTCTTGTGATTCACGTCACGCCTTTCGCGCATCGCGCAAATTGCTCGCGGCTTTCGACTGGCTTTGGCGATACAAGTTGTGGTGAAGTATCGACTTGCGTTTTTCTTACTGGATTTCCTGCGTTCATTGCGGTAAGATGTAATTTTTTTAAGTTCTTGGTGTCTCAGTGACACTCAGCTGAACTTTTGCCCCATGAAATCAGTCGTATGGCTGCTATATATAAAACTATTTTCCACCTCTTTCTTCTCGCAATTCCTGACGTTTTCCTTGGGCTACAATCCACCCTACATTACACTTAAACTCGTGGAATTATTTTTAGCACATTTCGGACTTGTTATTTCCTCTAAGGATAACACTTCTAAGTCTTTGCGGAAAACGCGCAACGTGCAGTAAGTAATCTTCAATCTACAGCGCTTGAACTTCTTTCTTATCCAATGTACTTGATTGGTGCAAATATATTCCGCTCATAGATTCAGGTGAAGGATTTGGAAAGATACGAATTGTTGAGTTAGCGCCATAGTAACCACTTTAAACCATGTACTTTTACTCCAAGATAATCTGATGTCCATAATCTAATGCATTTTTTACGCGTTCCGTTTCTTGGCGAAGAACTGAAGGATCAGCGATCAATTTTGGTGATAAGTGGGGAGAGGAAAAGGCCAAATTGTCTCGTTGAAGAAATGTTGGTTTCCATAGCAACGAGTCAATGGGAAGAAAGCTAAAATTTGTAGTTATGCCAGGAAAGAAATGGGAAAATATCATGAATTTGAGTTTGATAGACTGTTGATCGACCATACAGGGGAAAACGCTGCAAAGATCTCTGCAAACTTATGTATGAGATTTTAATTCCCTTTTTCGTAACATGAACTTGGCCTGGAGGGTTGTAACTATCGAGTATAAAAAGGTTTGCGGTTCAACGCAACGTATTTGACTAACAAAAACTTACTCGGGTTTCAGCTTTTGTGATTATAGGTTTCTCGGACTTCCGGATCACGAATTTTGACGTGCAAATCTTAGAACGCTTTTTTCAGCCGTCTGGAGGAAGGACACAAATCTAACTTTCTTTTTCAAACGCTTTTATCACTGGCGTAACTAAATTTATGAGGTCCAAGTTAGGGACAAAGAAAGAAAACCTTAAACCTTTATTTGCTGAAGAGCGTTTTAGCTTTACTCATGACAACATCCTTACGCACAAAATACGATATCAGACGATATGGCCACTTCTCAGCTTCGAGTTTCGTGAGAAAAGACAGCCACCAAAACCAATTTTCTCTTAACAATTTCGATACATACTCAAGAGAACAGATGGTGAGATTTAACAAAATGATCGTTTAAGAGAAAATGTTTTGATCTTTTATTACTACGTATGGAGATCAGTATGGAGAATTTTTATGCTGATACTGGGACTTAAAGGATTAAGGAAACCACTAAAATAGCCAGCTTCATGAGCATGTCACCTGATTATAATTCTCAACCGGTTGACGAACGTGAAGGTAAACAACCTGCTCCCCCGGGGGGGGACACCATCATATGGTCTATACGAGGATATGCCTCTGGACAGGTTATGGTTTTTGAGCTTTCTATCCTAAACGGTGCACTTAATGATCGTGGGAGTCTGTCCTAACCAGAGTACACAATTTCGTGCGAGGGTATTGCCTGCATGCACGATTTGATTTGCTAGATGAATTTTGTTTGAACTTCAAGTATACAAAAGCAATGACTTATACGTGAATTTGCTCTGTAGCGATTACCAGTAAATGGCTTAAAAACAAGACGGCGTGCAGTTTGTCCTTAGCCTGCGAACATTAGACGCATTTCCGGTCGTCGCTTAGAACTCTCCCTCCGAAAAATAGCTATTTTTCGGAGGGAGAGAAGCGACGACCGGAAATGCGTCTGCTGTTCGCAGGCTAGTTTGTCCTTTGTCCTAAATAGGGTAATAAAATTGAGGGCTGGTGTTGTCCTAAACAGGGTATGTTTTTTAGGAATTTTTTGTCCTAAAATCCTCCACGGCTCACCTATACTTAAATATTGGACGAGTACCCCCCCTACCACTCCGGACCTGCTCCACGCTTTCCTTAAACATGCGTCAGTTCACGGTGGAGATACGGTAACGCACTTTACTCGTAAAAGTTAGACGATCGGCTTGGAAATTGCTCAATCGAAAAACACTCTTTAAGAACGAGAGACTTTCCATACTTGAGAGTTTCAAAAGCAGCCTACAGTTTCTTATTACTAGAGTAGAGCATAAGATAGGTCACGTTACGCACTGTAGCTTTTAAAGTGTTAGATGTCAGTGTTATTTAAATTCTGACACGAATAATTGCAGATGTTTTCTGGAGACATTACCAGTGTAGGAATAATGATTAAGAGAAAACTAAAGGCAAAAATGACGCCAGTATAATTCTTGGACTGCCTCCAAAGAAATTTACTTCTTTACTGCTTACATATTAATCTTGCGGCTATTAAGTCACAAGATAGTCTCGCTATGAAAAATATTCATCAATTGGGCTTGTGATCGAAAAAATGCAGTACCCTGCACGTTATGATAGGACCGGGCTATAAATATGAGTGAGATTTTATTTACTGCAGGTGGCACTTTGACATGGATGGTAATAGTCGAATTCATTAGCCATTTATAATGCGACGTGACCCTATCAGAAAGCTATGAGCGCGTTCTTAGAGTGCCTGAATTTTCAAGCTTCTTGCAACGCAAATAAACACAGTCTCTAAATTCCAAAGGAAAATCCGTTTGCCAAGCGCGCGAAGGGCTGAAGTGTTAAGCCTTTTACAAACAAAAGTACGTAACAATCCTGCCGCGAACCGACTACAACAGCGTTTGTCAAATAATAGCAGCCCAGTGGATAAGTTGATAAACGACCGCTCGACCGTGAGATTAGTACGGAATCAGACTTCTGAAGGTATAGCTAAACGGATGAAAAAGTGATTCGAAGCTTAACATGTAGAATGGAAAAAGAATCAACTTACCTCACCTTTGGTGAAATCGAGTCAGTCAGACAGGCGGTGATGCTTAAGCACGCGAATTTGTCTTGTGTATCCAGTCCATTAGTGTAGTGACTTAAAGTAAATCGCATCGCGCAGACGCTAATCTGTTTGCCCGGTCACGACAACCAGTAACAAGCACCCAGTCTGCACT